CAGCCAGCCGGCCTCCTGTGGGGTGTCCCTTCTGGAGGCGGGGATCCCCCAGCCCGCTGCTGCTCAGCTCCCCGACAGAAGCCTGGGGTCGGTTGGACGTCTGCTGCCTCAGGGTCTTAAGGATGGAGGTGACGCTGCTCCCACCGTCGTCCTCGTCACTTGAGTACCAGTTTCCAGTGTCACCTGAGAAAGAGCAGAGGAGAGGGAGGGAGTGAGTGGCCACCACATCCACCCTCTCGGACCCCCGGCAGCCCGCTGGGTGAACACCTCTGCCTCTTACCTCTCAGAACCTCACCTCTCCTCCCTTAAGAACCCCGTCCCCTGCCACGAACAGCCCGTGAGCTCAGGCCAGTGACGTGCTGACCCTGGAGGCTGCTGGCTGACATTCCTGCAGCTTCCTCGTGCGCGGGCACCGAGCTAAACGCTTTGTCTTATTGGTTCTCACAGACACCCGGGACTCAGTGTTACTGGTCCATTTGACAGATGAGAAAAGGGAGGTGTGAACTGTGCCCTGAGATGGGGGCAGAGCTCATACTGAGCTCAGGCTCCAAGCCTAGGGTGCCGTCACCCCCTGGGCAGGCTCAGGCCCCACTGACTCAGCTCCCACTCTGCCTGGGGCTCACAGACACTTGCACCCAGGCCCCCAAGATTACCACATCCCAGGGAAGGGCAGCCACAGGCTAAGAGGCAAGGCCAGGTGGGCAGACACGGAAACTAGCCCAAGTCCAACCTTCTAAGCAGATAAAACTGGAGCCACCAGAGGAGGGTGCTGCCCCCTCATCCCACGGTCCCCGACTTGTTCCCAGGCTCTTGTCATGGCCACCTAAACACAATTTGTCCTCCCCATTTCACCCTGGGGATGCCACCAGCTCCCTGCACAGCCCCATGTAACTTGGCAGCTGTGTGTGACTGATCATTACTGGTTATGTCGACCAGCTCTCATCTGCTGCTTCCTGAGAACAGGGGCAAGGGGTGTGTGTGAGCATCTTTCTACAGCCTCCTCGGTAAGGGTGCAGGGGGTAAATCGAGCCAGCTCCTGTCTCCTCTAGGGACCAGACCACCTCCCTCCTTGATGGGATCAGGTCTCTCCCGACCCCCAAGGCACAGAGGGCAGCCCTGATTTCCGATTTCCTGAGGGACATGCATCAGCCCGAGCCTGGTTCCCAGCCTGAGGCAGGGTCGTCCCTGGCCACAGGCTCCCTTTCAGTGCAAAACCCCATCTAGGTGTTCCCCGTCTTTCCCCTGCACGGTGCCCGGGGCCTGCGCCCTCAGGGAAAGCCCTGCCCCTGGGGAGGACACATGCCTTCCTCATTCTCCCGGTCCTGCTTGCTGCTCTCAGCCAGCCTCCTCGCTCTCTCCTCCTCCTCCTGCTGCTTCTGCTGGATCCTCAGGTACAGGGCCCTCTGGGCTGAGGGCAGGAAGTCGGGGACACCGGCGCCCGGCTTCGGCCGGCCTGCGGGCCCTCCCTCAGAGAAGCTGTCGGGCTCCAGAGGGTGCTCGGGGAAGAGGTGCTCCCCAGGCTCCCCCGGCAGCTCTTCGTAGTGCCCGTAGTCCTCTGTGGCAGGGAAGAACCGAGGGTTCGTGTCGGGAAGGGCCTTGAGATGGCAACTCCAACCCACCCATGCCCTCAACTGAGACCTCCCCTGATGGCGATGGCGATGGGTGAGATGTGCAGCCCGTCCCTTCCTACCATCCCAGGACGTCCCCACAGAAAGCCCACAGCGAGGACCGGAGCAGCCAGCCAGGCATGCAGCCAGGGTGACCATGGGGTTCACGGTGAGGTTTGGTGGCATGGCAAACGCTCATGACGTGAAAACAGGACGGCACGTCATACGGATGTTTGCAAAATGCAAAGAAAAGGCTCTAGAAAGACAGACAGGAAACAGTCTCTTGGAAATGAGATTCCAGAGACGGGCTAAGAGGTCTCTTCACTTTTCACTCCACACGCTCTGACCTGCATGTGTATTTGCCACGAGCACTAGTTTTAGGGTTTGTTTGTAATAATCAATAAAGAACAAGATCACATTGGGAGGTCAAAACATGAGCTTAACAAGGGAATGAGGCTCGAAAAGAAAAGAAGGGAAATACACCAAACGATGCTGAGTGAAGCCTGTCAGAGAAAGACAAATGTCACATGACCTCACTTATGCGTGGAATCGAATGAACAAAACAAACTGACGAACAAAACAGGTCCAGAGACAGGAAGCATGGGACAGACTGACGGATCTTAGAAGGAAGTGGGAAGGGGTTACAGAAGAGATTAGCCAAAGAACATATACACTCATATGCACAGCCCATGGACACAGACAATAGTGGGGTGAAGGCCTTGGGGTGGGACAGGGGCTGGGTGGAGGGGGACAAAGGTGGGGGGAAATGGGAGACATCTATAATACTCTCAACAATAAAAAACAAAACAGTATGTTGCTATGGACACCTGTCAACCCAGAAGCCCCTGCTGCTTCCTGCTTCCTGCACTTCATGATTAAGGAGGGGGCGCAGCATGGTGGGCTGGGGGACGATACACCTGGAAGCTGTGTGTGTGTGTGTGTGTGTGTGTGTGTGTGTGTGTAATTCTCTCAGAGATGGAGCACTCCGAGAGAGCACTGCCCACAGCATGTTGTACAATGATGAACGTGCCATACACCCACCACTGTACTCATGGGGCTAGTGAGCAACTGCAATGGGGCCAGTAAGAGAGTGGAGCTGTAATTTAATTTTATATACAGAATAATTTCATGTATGTGGAGAAAGCAAAAGGCCACCTTGTTCTGGCCACTGAACTTTGTCACATGTGAACTTGATCGGCAAGCCTGACCTGTGCCACCCCCGGGCTCAGGGTGAGCAGTCCCAGTCCCCCCTGCTGGGAATTTTCACCAACAGTGACTCACTGCCCGGCCGGGGAGGCTCAGGTCAACAGATGAACCAGGAGGTCACGGTTCAATACCTGGTCAGGGCACCTGCCTGGGTTTCAGGCTCAATCCCCAGAAGGGGGTGTGCAGGAGGCAGCTGAGCAACAATTCTCTCTCATCATTGATGTTTCTCTCCCTCCCTCCTCCTTCCTCTCTGAAATTAATAAAAAAAATATATTTTTTAAAAGATGGCTGTGCACCTGTGAATTCAGTAAGGACTCACTTAACGCTGTCGATAGGTTCTAGAACAAACCCATTCCACCAGAGCTAATGGATACAAACAACAGCTAAGTTCCCGGGCACCTCATCAGGGCTCTAACGGAGGGCCGTGGAGCGCACGTCCCTGGAGGCCCTGCCGTGCCGTGAAGCCACCGGGCAGCACACTCTGCAGGGCTTCCTGGCGTGGGATTTAAGCCGGTTCCTCTCTGTGCTGCTCACAGCTGACACCCTGACCTCTGGCCCTGCAGTGTATACGCATGTTTACAGGTGGCGGGGTTTGTGGGAACAGCACCTCTCAAGCACCTTTTTCTCACTTGAGAACCTGTCACATCTTTCTAAAGCCCCTGCTCCTCACCCCAAACACCTGCTCTCACCGCTTCGAACACCATCTAGACACCAATGATGCTCACATCGCCCTCCAGCCTGCCTGTCCGATCCGCCTCAACCTGTCTGAGGCGTGGCTGTCAAATGGGCATCTCATCCTTAGTGCTGCCCCACCCACCTCAGCTCTCCAGCAGGGCTTCCTGGTCAGGGCGGCGTCAGCACCCATGGAGGCTGCCCCCTGGCCAGCGCCCCATCCACGCCTGTCCATCTTGTAACGCTGGGACTCCTCTCCCGTGTCCCCCCTTTCCAAAGCACTCGCTGCTTTTGCTTTTCTCCAGCAAGCGGACTGGCTGGGGCCTCTGCCCTGGCTGTGCCTCCCGCGTGGGCTGTGCGCCCCGTAGCTGCCGCCTCCCTTCCTGTCCCAGCTCACTCCCAGTTACTTCTCAGAGAGGCCTCTGCCCACTGACCTCACCGTGCCCAGACCCTCCTGGCCCACCCCCCAGCCCCACCGCCACTCTCCCCGGCACCGTTATTTCTAGCCACGATCAATGCCGGAACGAGCTTGTGTACGTACGCACACGTGTCCTGCCCGTTTCCCTCCACTCCAGTGAAGCTAGGCCAGGACCGGGGCTGTCTCGCTGGCTCTGACCCCAGGGCTGGAGCAGCCACACAG